GGGCAAGATCACTTACTCCCAACAGTATTCCGCCATACTTCTGCACTCTCATGAAAACAAATAAAATTAAAATACGCGCAAGACTAACAAGCCACAACATGAAAATTACTTTGAGACTCTGTGTCAGTGATATAAATCCAGATTTCAACAATGTTGTATTGAAAGTTCAAGCTCAGAGCTCACATTAACCAGCTTTTTTTTTTGCTGAATAAACATCTCGAGCAAAAAATTTATCTCTTTTTATGCCTTTTTGCATCTTATACAAATGCAAAACGCATAATTTCGAGAGCATCCCTGTGCAACTCCCTTTTCTCTCTCTCTCGCATGCAAGAAAAGACCAAAACACAAGCACATGAGTTTTTTTTTTAATATTTCTCAACCGCCCTAAACTTAACTGGTAAACTCCATTCCTTCTTTTCTTCTTTTTTTCTCTCTTTTTTCGTCCTTTTTTTTCTCTGTTTCTTTTCCCACTTTTCTTTTTTCTTTTTCCTCTCTCTTATATTCCCTCCTTTCCTTCTTATCCCTGAACACTGCGACCGTCATACTGACGAGGTCCAGTCGTGGTGCTGAGCTAAGACGTATATGACTTGATGGACCGAAACGTCTTAACTCGACTGTCTTTCCTACAGTTTTTCTCATACTATTTTCCCCCCTCTCTATACACTTCTATATACACTTCCCTTATTTTGGCACCCATCAACATGGATGCTACAAACGGCTTACACGTATTGAATTGTAAAGCAACAATCATTCGTACTATTAGCCATCTGATTGTGTCAAGTGTGGCGCAAAAACGCATGATCGCATAGGCAAGCTTGGTGCATTATTACCTGGGTTTTATTAAAGGGTGGCCGCCGAGCTTAAGCAAGTTTGTAAATTAAGCCCACCTGTGATGAAAGGAGGTTACCCATGCCCGGTGTAAATGATGAGAGCTCACTGTTTGGGGCGGATATTGTGGGATATTGTTTTCAGATGGCAGTCGCGACCACGTCTCCGTAAAAGTACATCTGGATAACAGACGGGACAGGCAGTTATTGCGTGGTTCCGGTGGCGGCTCCTCAGCCACAGCAGTTGTAATGAATCAGATAAAGGTAATCGAAGATTTTTTTTATTATCTATCATTGTTTTATCAACCCGTACCTTCACCAGTTTGTGCACTTTTCGATGGTTACTGTGTCCGAATCTGCTTCGGTCCTTGCTCAGCCTACGATTGCTTCGGACCTTTGTTTTTGTGGTCCCTTGGTTGCACTGGATCTGTCCCATCCCCATCGCTGCCTGCAAGGAAGTAGTTTATCTGCCAACAGTCCAATTTTGCCCATCGAATGGGGCTGCTGGAGATGATTATTTAGAAGATTTTAAGAAAGCCGGATATCAATTTCAAAAAAATACCTTTAAAAATTGCGGGCGATAGCAATTTTTTCACAGATTCTGTCTAATCCAGAGCGTACAGAGAAGAAGTGTTTCAGGTTCTCCGAGGTGCGACAATAGGCAAGGAATTTGTTATGCGATCAATTGGCCAGTATGTTGAGGATGTGAAACCGCTGTTACTGCGAGTGGATCGTTCCGATATCACATTTTTCATTGAGGATGACGATGTAAGTGTGTGCTTTTGTGTCTCTGATAAGACACTGCCAGTGTTTCTCTCTCTGTTTTAAAGACTTCTTTAAAAGTACGGCCTGAATCCCAAATGACAGAGGCGTGTTAATCTCGCGTTGTAGTTAACCAGGTGATGGAAAGATAATTTCTGTACAGATCGATATGATCATTATCCAT